GTGTGTGTGTGTGTGTGTGTGTGTGTGTGTGTGTGAAGGGGTTGTTGTCTGCAGGTAGTTTAAGAAAGAGGGAGAGGAGGAAGGTGCAAACCCTGTACAAACTCAACATTACCTCAGACTTTGAGATGTAAAAAACAAAACAAAAAACAAAACAAAACATCAAGTTTGTAAAACTGACTTAAGATATACCACATCATTTTTAGTTGGTATTCAGGTTTTATAGTCTTTTAATGTAAAATTATCACCAAATAGCTGGTTTATATAACAGTGTGACAGTCTGCAACTGCATAATTAACAAGAAAAGTCCAATAATTGCTTCCAGTAATATAAAACATGTCTGTTTCCTTCAGGTGTCGTTCGCCAAGTAAAGCCTTTGATTGGTCCAATGTCAACAGTACTGAAGCTCTCTATGCGCAACCGGACAGCTCAGGGCGACTCTGGCCAGAACATCATCAACGTTCATGTCTTTGTCTCAGAGTTTTGGTTCTGAGAAGAAGATGGCAGAATTTTCAACACATATTAAGACATCTATTGTCAACACTGTACACTTTACTTTTGTAACATTCACACATGAATCAGTGACAAGGTTTTAATACGTTTTGACAGTGTTATCAGTTTTGATTGTTGCTGAGACTGAAGGCCACTACATGTTTCTGAGGAGAGCTTTTACATTTTGGATCCTTTCTGAAATCAGCTTAAAGATGAACAAACATGAAGAGATTTTAATAAATGTTATATGTTTTGTTTTTAGTTGAAAGTGCATGCTTGTAGAGAATTTAAAGATTACATTAAAGACATTTAACAACGTTCTTTTTTCTTTTGTTATACATCTTTGTATTCTAAAATTATCTTTTCATTTTTTATTATATGTATGGTTTTGTACTTGAGTTTTTTTTATTTGTTTTTTGTTTATTGACAGAATAAACACTATTTTAGTTACAGTGGTTGTTCTTAGAATTTTATTCTTATTCCATTTCAAGACCAAAAGCCAAACTTCAAGTTTTTTTTTTCCTTCAAAGCACTTCTGTTTGTTTTGAAAAACAGAAAAATTGGTTTCTAACAGAAAAAAGATCAATGTCTTAAATTATATTAAAAAACATGATGTTTCTTTTAACAAAGATTATTTTTTGCATCTTATTTCCCTATGAGTCTATTTCAACCAAAATTCAAGCCTTGCTCTGCCTGATTATCTTTATTGCTTCCTAAACAAGTTTGTCAAAAAGTGTGTTCTCTTAATTCTCAAGATATTATCCTGGGGCATATATTTTAGTGTCATCTCTGCTAATTTCCTCTGTCTTGTATGAAGACCAAACATATTCTAAACAAGCAAACTGATACAACTTTAAAAATAATCTTTGACATTGTAAAATGGTTAAAGGATGTTTGCAATGCAAGCTTCTTTAGGTTCCAGTTCCAAAATGTTCTTATATACAGTATGTCAGTGGTATTTTATTTTATTTATTTATTGTTTGTTTGTTTGTTTTCCAGAAGTTACTACATTGTTAAATATAATCCCACTGATCAGTGTGCTAGTAGTTCTTTTAAAATATCGAATTATATTGTCAGGAAAAATTAGTGTCTTTTAGTGTCTTTTTTCAAACATTATAAGAATTCGTATGGTAGCTGATGGAAAAAGTTCAAATTTACTGTTCAGTGTAATGGGTGTCCATTGCTCAAACATATCTGCCACTTTGTTTTTACATATGGTTATTATTTCTCTAAACAGATTTTTATAATCATGAGCAGTGATTACAAATAAAGTGATTATATAGGCCATATTGCTGATTTATTTTTTCCTTCAAAATGCATCATATTTAATTGTAGTTAAACCTACACATGCAGAGAGATATTTGGTCGGCAGCACTGTTTGAAGCACTTTTGTGAGAGCCTTGAAATTAGAATGATGACCAAAGTCTGTTTTTCTCCATAAATGGTGGTCCCATAAGTTTCATAATCTTTTGGTTATTCAGGGCGTGTTAGGGAAAGATAAATTATTAAGGCCCGTTTGTCCATGCGTCCGCTTTCTTCCACTTCTCGTGGGTTGGGTCGCGGGGGCAGCAGCCTAAGCAGAGAGACCCAGACTTCCCTCTCCCCAGCCACTTGGTCCAGCTCGTTTGGGGGAATCCCAAGGCATCCTCTGGCCAGCCGAAAAACATAGTCCCTCCAGTCCTGGGTCTTCCTCTGGGCCTCCTCCCAGTGGGACGTGCCCGGAACACCTCACCGGGGAGGCGTCTAGGAGGCATCCTAACCAGACTCCCGAGCCACCTTAAGTGGCTCCTCTCGACGTGGAGGAGCAGCAGCTCTACTCTGAGTCCCTCCTGGATGACCGAGCTTCTCACCCTATCTGTAAGGGAGAGTCCAGACACCCTGCAGAGGAAACTAATTTCGGCCACTTGTATCCATGATCTCGTTCTTTCGATCACTACCCAAAGCTCGTGATCATAGATGAGGGTAGGAACATAGACCGACCGGTAAATCGCCTTTTGGCTCAGCTCTCACTTCACCACAACAGACCGGTACAGCGCCCGCATCACTGCAGATGGAGCACCAATCCACCAGTCGATCTCCCACTTCATTCTTCCCTCATTCATGAACAAGACCCCGAGATACTTAAATTCCTCCACTTGGGGCAGGACCTCCTCCCTGACCTGGAGTAGGCACCCTACTCTTTTCTGGCTCAAGACCATGGTCTTGGATTTGGAGGCACTGATCCTCATCCCGGCTGCTTCACACTCAGCTGCGAAGCACTCCAGTGAGAGCTAGATATCACGATCTGATGAAGCCAATAGGACCACATCATCCGCAAAAAGCAGAGATGTGATCCTAAGGTCACCAAAACGGATCCCCTCAATACCTTGGCTGCACCTAGAAATTCTGTCAATGAAAGTTCTGAACAGAATTGGTGACAAGGGGCAAGCCTGAGTCCAACTCTCACTGGAAATGAATCCGACTTAGTCCGCCGATGAGTTTTTGCCTCAGCGACCAACAGAGCTGCAATCCGCTTGGGCTGCTGATTCACACAGGTCAAAAAGACCTGACAGGACTCCTTCTTCAGCCGGACAACATCCCTCACGCCATTGTCCACCAGCAGGTTTGAGGGTTGTCGCCACGACAGGCACCGACAACCTTATGGCCACAGCTTAAGTAAGCCGCCTCGACAATGAAGGCATGGAACATGGCCCACTTGGACTCAATGTCCCCCACCTCCCCTGTAAATTGTTCAAAGTTCTCCAGGTGGTGTGAGTTGAAGCTTAGTCTGATGGGAGACTGACAGACACCTTAAATTATTAAATTCAGTTCAATTCAATTCAGTTTATTATATAGCACCAAATCACAACAAATATTGTCTCAGGCCACTGTACACAAAAAAAAAAACAATAAATATATAGATTAATTAATTTATGTCTTATTATAGTCTACCAATCAGGATATTGTATGGTGTATCACGGTCATGATTACAGTGATTTTTACAATTCCCAGGAAACAAAACATTGATAGTTCAGACATGTCAATATTAGTGAACAGAGCTTTCTCAACCTGCTTCATGGTGGTTTGTAGATTGTTTCCAAGGTGACATCAAGAACATTTTGTTTATTCTTGCACCCACTGATATCTGTTGAAAGGCAGTTTAGATGTGTAACCCTATGTTCTCTGAATGTCCCCAGATGACTGGAAAGTGTTGAAGCTTTGGACAAATTTTCTGGTTTGAAAAGTTTAGGGTTAGGGGGAAGCAACAGCACATAAATATTTTAAAGACCTGGGTAACCGCACTGTTTTCCTTATTACATTAATCATTGAACCATAACTTCTTTTTTATCAGTTATGGAGTGACATGAGACTACTGTCTACTGTCAGCTAACTTACTAGTTAGCTGGAAACATGTTAGTAATGACCTGACTGTGACCAGGGCTCCCAAATCTCCTGCATTGACCGTGATACACATTTCATGACGTGCACATGCCACAACAAATGCACACATGACCCTTTTTTGAAAAAAAGATAGATGTTTCCCTCACTGGATGAACTTGCCCCTGAGTGGCCCGTAAGCAGAGGGGGATCGTCAGGTCTGGACAAACCACTCACCTTGCCTAAAAAGTTTTGTGCCTGCCTATTTTTTTCTTAATTTGTAAATGTTCATGCATTGGAAGTCCTGTTCACATGCAGGGTATTGATCATTTCCACCTGTTGCACGCTCCAATGATGATTTTGTCTTAGTTTCTGTTTTCACAGGGTTGCACCGCATTGAACATCACATACAAATAGGTTGATCAGATGTCCCGAATTGTGCAAGACTGTCTCACATTTGACTGGTTAATTAACAGAAAGTAAAACAAAAGTGTCCTGCGCTGCAGCTACTGTGTTAAATGAATAAAAAAAAAACAGACCAAGAAAATGGGTTTGATACATACAACATGTAATGGAAACCACGTCATAGAAAAGAAGGGTGAAGTCGGTGAAAGATGACTCTGAAAAAGAAATTTGCCAAACTTTTTTTTGAAGAGGAACACAACTTGAAGCAACAGTGTAAAAGTGATTCTCATAAGAAACCCACAGCCTGTCAGTCTATAGACAGAGAAATAGCAGCAGGTCAGTCCTACAGACCAGCTGCTCTGTTCCTTCCAGATGTAGACTTTTATGTTTTTGAGATAGGCCTATTTAGTATTGTGTTTTCATTTAGATAAAATAAAAAAAAATGTTGAACTCTAAATATTTTCAACCACAGCTTTTTCTGATAAATTTTAAAAAGTATTAATTTAAAAAAATAAATTTACATTTATTTATCTTTTGAAAGCATTCTTTGTGCACTAACACACAAAGCAGAAAATTATGTAATTTGAGATCTGTAATAAAATAAAAGTTTGTTGATGTGTTCCACCATCCCTCATAAGCATCATTTTTGTCCCAACCTTGGAGCAACATAAGAAAGAAAGAAATAGTGACTGTATTTGTGTTTTCTTCACAACGCTATATTTTCTGTTTTACAACCACACTCACACCAATGGCTGCACAAAGGTTTTTTTTTATGTTACTTCTCAATGTTGGAATCATGTTACCGTATTTTTCGGACTATAAGCTGCAACTTTTTCCCCGAACATTAAACCATGTAGCTTATAGTCTGGTGCGGCTTATACGTGGATTTTTTTCTTCAGCCACCAGGGGGCTCTTATGCTGCATTTGCTTCAACCACTCGCTTCAAAAAAGAAAGGGAAAAAAAGGAAGAAAAAAGCGATCGCTTCCAGAGCCGACTGTTGTACCTGGAAGCAGCGATTTAAAGATAGTCAATGGCCAAAAACTCATAAAAGGGGATAAAACAGACATTTTTCACGGTGGAATCTGACTGATAAAAACTTTGGAGCTTAATCCAGGACCAGTTTGTAGATAAACGTCGAGTGAAGAGCCGCAGACTTTTTTTTTGCATTGCACTCCCCGGGGAAGGAATCCCATGCAGTGACGTATGCTGCAGCGGGAGGGCTTTCCCAGCAGCTCGGCTCGGGGTTTCTCAGGGGAACTATGAAAGGTCAGTGCGAAAACAAATGCCAAACAATCACGTGACGGCGCGTCGACCGGTCGACAGCCGAGCGACCATACAGCCAACTTAGCCAGACGTGTAGCTCCATTTTGTTTTAGCTAGTAGCAGACACGACACGACGGATCTTCGACAGACACGATATTGGACAGTATGCGGGCCCACATCACGGATTCGGTGAAAGCAGCCATCAAGAAAACAAACTCAATTCCTGCTGTTATTCCTGGAGGTACAACAAAGTTTTTACAACCCCTGGACATCAGTGTGAATTGTGCATTTAAAGCAGCACTCAGGGCTGAATGGGAGGCTTGGATGGCTGACGGGGATAAATCATTCACAAAAACTGGCCGAATGCGAAGAGCGTCATTTCCTGATGTCTGCCAGTGGATCCTAACAGCGTGGAGCAGAGTGAAT